TACAGTAACGAAGTATTTGTACTTCGTTACTTCCCATCTCTGGCTTTCAGGCAAGTCAGCCATTTGCTGCTGGCCTGTAGCTCTGTGGAGCCGTCTGCAGGTCACACACCTCAACAGGATGTTTGCAATCAAGGCTCCAGCAACAGGAATCCAATATTTCTGATGCAGCTTTGAGAGTATGTTGTTCCTACCCCCATAACCCACACTTTTATGGATATGCTGAAGAATGAGATCAGCAATGTAAAGGTCTTAGGAAATATGTGTTATGATGGGATTCAGGTTTCTAACCCATATGCAGAACACAACGGAGACTGATGAAGTTTGACTGTTTATTAAAACAAAGACAACGTTAAAGCACAGATGCTGGGTAACAGATCCGGGACTGGTCACACAGGGTTCTCTGTAGAGAGGGACAGTTTGGTTAGCCAGGATGCGGTTGATCTTGTCAGAGGAATTGAGCAGGTCTGTACCTGTGACGTGATTCAGGTTTAGCAGCTGAGGGAGGGAACCAGGAGGGTCCAGAGGCTAATAGTTGGCAGAGGGCTAAGCAACGGCAGGGCTCGACTTCAGACTTATCAGTATCAGGTCCAGGGTTTCCTCCGATTCTCTTCTTGAGAGCGGACAGGCAGGTTCAGACAGTTAGGTTCATCAGATGAGCTCCTGAGAGCTGGCAGGCAGGTTTCAGCTGAGAAACTCTTCCAGAGTTCCAGAGTTCAGTCAGGTTTCTTCCTAAGAAGCAGAGAGGACAAAAACTTAGATTCAGATTCTGGTTTTAGGGGAGTCAGAGAATCAGTCAGGCTGGTTGGCTCAGGCTTAGCTAACCATAACTGGCTTAACACTCTGGCACTGGAGTGTAGTCCTGCCGCTGCTTATATGCTGGTCTCCTGATGACTAATGAGCCGCAGGTGTGGTCGTCAGCTCAGCTCCAGGAGACCTAGGGCCCCCTTTGCTGGAGAAAGTTGGACAGACCTCCAGATCCCAACATTATGATAGGATGTTTGGAATCTTCCGACACGACAGCCTTGCTGAGACGTCCTCCAGCACGCAGCACGTTATCCTCCAGAACAGGATTCAACTTGTACAGTCATGGCAAAAAGTATGGAGAATAACACAAATATAATATTTTCACATGATCTGCTGCCCTCTGGTTTTCATGTGTGTATGTCAGATGTTGTCATCACATACAGTAATACAATTGCAATCATCTTATGAGTAACAAAAGCTTTAAATGAAAGTTAGAATGAGTTAATGCATGAAGTCAATATTTGCAGTGTTGACCCCTCTTCTTCAGGACCTCTGCAGTTCTCTCTGGCATACTCTCAATCAACTTCTGGACCAAATCCCGACTGATAGCTGCCCATTTTTGCACAATCAATGCTTGCATTTTATTAGAATTCCTAGGTTTTCGTTTGTCCACCTGTCTCTTGATGATTGACAAGTTTTCAATGGGATTAATATCAGGGGAGTTTCCAGGCCGTGGACCCAAAATCTCTATGATTTGTTCCCTGAGCCGGTTAGATATCACCTTTGCTTTATGGCAAGGTGCTCCATCAAGCTGGAAAAGGCATTGTTCATCACCAAACTGCTCTTGGAAGGTTGGGAGAAGTTGCTCTCGGAGGACATTCTGGTACCATTCTTTATTCATGGCTGTGATTTTAGGTAAGACTGTGAGAGAGCCGACTCCCTTGGCTAAGAAGCAACCCCACACATGAATGGTTTCAGGATGCTTCACAGTTAGCAAAAGACAAGACTGGTGGTAGCGCTCACCTCGTCTTCATTGTCTAGGCAAATATTGACTTTGCAATTATTTGCTCTTACGCTGATCACTCTTTATAACATTCTGGGGTATATGCAAGTTTCCGTTATAAAAACTGAAGCAGTTGACTTTTTAAATATTAACATTTTAATCATTCTCAAAACTTTTGGCCATGACTGTATATGTGACTTCTTTGCTTCACACTCTCCCCTTTTTGGAGACAGGAGATTTTTTCAGCATATCTTTTCCTCTGACAAAACTTGATTATTTGCCTCTCAGCATCCTCAATCTCTCCCAATGAGAGAAGGTCATTACAGAACTCAACTCTAGAATGAGCACTTTTAGACTGAGTTGTATTCGATGCAAGCCGGAAATGGGTGTTGTTCATTTTGCAATGTAAGCGCAATGTTTTGAACTGCAATATCCCACTCATCACTCTGACAAGACGATTCCAGGATGAGGTATGATGAATCAAGGAATCCAAAGGATGATCATGATTATGTGTAAATGAGACAACCACAGAGGCACACATCTTGACTTCCTGGTCTTCATATGAAAGTTCCTGCAAGTTATCTGGGTTAACAGGCCAATCTGTCTCTGGCTGTGTAAGGAATGTAGAACCAGATAACCATTTAGTTTCACACAGAAAAAGGTTTTACCTTCATACCTCTGGAGGCAAGGTCTTCAGGGTTATGTGTTGTGTTCACGTACCTCCACTGTGAGACTCCAGAAGACTTGAGAATCTCAGACACTCTGTTGACCACAAAAACACGAAAGCTAGTAGTCTTGTTATTGATGTATGTGAATACTGAGGCGCTGTCTGTCCAAAACACTGAGTCCAAAAGATTTAACCTCAGCTCTCTTCTCCAAAGTCTGTCCATGCAAACTGCTAGAACAGCCCCTGTCAAATTCATATGGGATTTGTGACTGGTTTTAAAGGTGCCACTCTTGACTTCCCAATTATGAAGGAACTGTGTGCCTGCAAGAGACAGTTGTGCAGGAGCAAATAGGTAACAACCCCATAACCCTTCTTACTTTCATCTGCAAAGTGATTAAACTGAGCAGGTGTTGTTTCTCCAAATTCAGTAGGTTTGAAGCATCGTCTGATGCTGATGTTGTTCAACAGATGCAGTTCTTCCACCCACCTTATCCACTCTTGAGCAATATCTGATGGAATAGCATCATCCCATCCACAGATCTCTGACACAGATCTTGAAGTATCCTTTTAGCTATGAAGATGACAGGAGCAAGAATCCCAGAGGGTCGTAGAATAAGCTGACCATAGACAGAATTACTCTCCAGGTCAATGGCCTGTTTGGGATTTTCCGTTATTACATCATGTTCTACTCACCCATATTAGTTTTGTGTCATTTGGAGCTGTTACGAAGATATCCGGTTTTGGTATATCCAAGTAACATCTTCCCATGGGCATCGACTTGAAGGCACAAACTAAACTGTTCATAATTTACTCTTTATGGTATGCCAGCATTCAAAACATGTAGGTGAATCACTGTCCCCCAGACATCCGTGGTTATATTTTTATGTTTATATTTTTAAAAACAAAGTGGAGTGTGTATGACGTCATCCGCGCGCTTCACTGGAGTTGTGAAAGGCAGCCCGGGCCACAGGTGGCTACGCTCTACTCCTTATATTCATTCAGCTACCTAATCTGAATCGTTCAGTTTCATCTCTAGAGCGAGTTCATCTGTGGTAGTAGCACTAGACATCTTCCATGCATGTGAGTAAAACTAGCTGCAGTTCAGCGGACAGAATGAATGAATGGTAGCCGGCGCGCACGGATGACGTCATACACACTCCGTTTTGTTTTAAAAAATATATAAATATAAAAAATATAACCACGGACGTCTGGGAGACTGTGATTCGCCTACATGTTATGAATGTTGGCTTACCATAATGAATAAATTATGAACAGTTTAGTTTGTGCCTTCAAGTCATGCCCATAGAAAAACTTGGATTTCAAAACCGAATATCTTCAGGACAGCTCCAAATGACACAAAACTCATATGGGTGAGTAGAACATGATGTAATAACGTAAAATCAAGGGCCCAGTGTAAGAAAAAACGGTGTTCCCGTTCAAACCCATCTGACTGTAAACACCACCAAACTACCAATGCTCGTTCAGCAGGCAAGAGGTCACAATCCAGATCTAGATTTTTTAAATACCTTGGCTCTCTCCTTTTCAGGTATTAGTGCCAGAACCCTGGGCTGTTACTTATCTACTTTGTTAAATGGAAGCCTCCCTTGGCACAGATATGTCTGGGGTCTTTGTAACGAGCGATTGTTTCCTCTTTAATGCTTACTGAATCAAGGCTCCGGCTGCGTGGTGGAAAGTGGGTCTGATGAGGATTGGGCGGAGCTATCCTATCCTTTTTTCCCTTGCAGCTATAGTAAAGTAGTTTTAATATGTTCTAAGTGGGAAAATGCACCTGAAAACTTAATCAGTGCAGTCAGTTCCCGCAGATTACCATCCTGCCTTCTAATATTATTTCTGTCTGACCCACTCAGACCCCCAGATATGGGCGGTGCACTGTCAGTAGGAATCCCATTCAACAACAGCCTTGGCGCTATATAAATAAACTGAATTGAATTGTACAAGCTTTGGTGCCCCCTGACATTCAGGGTGATGTAGGTGGTGTTATCAAATAGATTGCTTGGATAATAATGCTATTTCCTGAATTTATGTTGCTTTTCAGTGAAAACGCTCAATATTCAAACTGACATAATGTTTCTTTAATTAAAGAAAGATATTTGTGTTTTTAAAATGTTAGATTCCAGCCTTTCATTAGGTGTTTATATACTGCAAATATATTTTTAGTTAGCCTTTACAGATAAGTGAAAATAATAAAAAAAAAAATGCTTGCACAGGCCGGTATCTTATTCATAATACACTGGTGGGTAAAGAGTTAAGCATTAACTGACCTTCACCTTATATTCTGTAATGATGTTTGTACGAAAACATGTTTTTTGTTACCAAACCGTTGGGTAAATATGTTTCTCAATTTAGCATTAATTTAAAGTTCACTTTGTTTCAGCCAGTATCTGCTGTAAAAAAACAATGGCTAATGGCTTTGATTTTTCGATTATATAATATTTGTATTTTATTGTTATTCAATATGTTCTGTTATTTTTTTAATACTTTCTCTCTGCTTTTTCAGGAGAGGATGGAAACCCCACAGGAGGGAATTGGGTTCAGACGTATTGAAGGTTTTACAAGAAACAGCTATGGTTGATGTAAACTGAGTTCTTCACATCAGTTACCAGAGCACTGAACCTTTAAGATCTAGACTACTTGTAAATATTTTGTGCTGATATTTTGATGTAATTGCCATAAATCTGTGGAGTATCTAAAACTGTTTTAGTACAGAGAAATATTTCTAAATATTTTTAGAAATTAAAAATTAAAAATTTAATAGACATTGGCAGCAGCCAATGTCCATTAAATTAAAGCTGGCCCCTCCCACCCTGGGAGAAAAGTGTGCCAGATTCTCTCCCCTGACAAAGTCTGTAGTCCATCAGGACCAAAGCTTAGAGCCACAGAGCCATCTTCCTCCCACCTGCAGCTGACCCCATTAACAAGGCTCATTTCCCCTAGTAACTCTTTTCCATGGAAAACAATATCAATTTCTCAGCACATGTAATTACTGTTAAAACTCAATTCTATACTGTTGTTGTATATTTTCCTCATCATATTTCAAACCCTCTCTGTTTTCCTTTTGATTTGAAAACCCGTTAATATGTTTGTTAGTTTAAGTGTTTCTTTCCCAGAAAGAGCCAACTTTGAGCTAGTTTACCATTACGTTTTCTAACATGGGAAGTATTTATAGAGCAATGCTACTGTGTTCCGCTTTTATGTTTGCTTCTGTCTACTTGAATCCCAGTTGGCCTCGGCAGATGGCCGCTCACCTCGCTCTGGTTCTGCTGAAGGTATCTTCCTGTTAAAAGGGATTTTTTTTCTCTCCACTGTCAATGTATGCATGCTTAGAATGAAGGATAGATGTAGGTTCAATGACAAAATGCAAAGAACATCTTTTGTGACCACCTGCTCATCCAGAAGGAGCAAATCCTGCAAAGCCATTGAGTCGATAAAAATGTTTGACCAATCTGATTGGATTATCTGATTGAATTGTCTCTGTTACGAGCCTTGAGATGGCATATTGTAAAATTGGTGCTAAGAAAAAAAAAAAAAAAAAGGATTGAGAACTAAATGATTTTTAATATCTGCCACATTATTCTTCCTCTGGTGATTTTATTTTCTTAAGTTTCATTACATTCCAAATCAACTTGTAATTTTTATTTCACATAAAAAATATATTTGTACTTATTAAGTCGTATCATCTGTATGTTTGTCTTTGTGTAGCACCTTTTCACTAAATCAAATTTCTGATTCATATAAAACACTAGCCAACAATAAAGCTTTCTCTAATTATGATCATGCTTCCTGGGGCTAGTTTAAAGTTGAATGATTAATCCTCTTAGGGAAGGAAGAACTCTTAAATGTTAAGTAAGTAAAAAAAAATGTATATGTTTTGTTAATTAAATGGCAGCAATATGGAAGTAAATCTGTGTCGCTGGGATGTGAGTTAAAAATGCCACTGAAATTTAAATGTTGTATGTTTGTACTTACTGTTTCAGTGTTAAAATATATTCAGAACACATTTTTGACCTACAAAAATTCATTGTCATTATTTCTATACAGTTGAAATTTCATTTGTTATTTTCTCTTCAAGCTAAAAATTCACATTACTATTTCAAAGTGATTACATTTTCAATACTTATTTTTCAGTTTACTTTTTGAGTGTTAAAAAAATCTGCATATAAAAAAATTTCAACCTTTCAAAATTCAAACTCAATAATTTCAGCCTCCTGAAATTCAACTGGCTCTATTTCACTGTCTTAAATTCGGCGTCTAAATTCACTGAATTTAGACGCCGAATTTCAGACAGTGTTCTGTTTTATATCACATATAAATGTTAACATCCTATTTTGCCTATTTTTATTTTATTTGGGGAACTTATCATATTACATCTTGTACTTCTAAATAAAAATTTAAATTTTTTTAATTTGCCATCTTCTTTTATACATTTTGTTAATTTTCATGGTGAGAAAGACTAAACTTTAAATGCTTTTATGACAAACTTATCAATTCTTAGTTCTGTTATACATTAGCGCTGTCATGCTACACCAGTCTTTGCTAAATTTGCTTTTTACTTTTAAAAATTTTCTCACTTCAGCTGCCTAAAACTTTAAAACAGCTGATTTGACTGATTTAGACCAGGGTTCCTCTATTTCAACCCATGAGGTCTGATATCCTGCAGCTTTGTTTTAACTCGCTTAAATCCAATGCCTGAACTATCTCTTCAGAATTCAGTCAGGTTCTTCAGAGCTTATGATCTCATTAATTGACTCAAGTGTATTAAGTTGATCATAGAGAGTCTGTTGAGGGTTCATGTGTTGTATAAAAAAACCCATCCAAATAAGTCATAGTCCCTCAGTGTTTCCTGGTGCACTCAAAGAAATAGTCCTTTAAATTCAGAATAAAATACTAGGAGCTATAGGCGCCAGCATTTTACTGTAAATTTACAATATTTGTACCATCATTTCTTTCACAGCTGTTTACTCTGAAAGTTAATACAGTACAGATACTGTAACAAAACAGTAAAATTCCAATGAATTTAATTGCCAGTAACTCACTGTAAATTTACATTTTTAACACTGTATATAACTTTTGAAGTAGTTTACTGTTAAAGGAGAATTCCGGTTTTTAACACTTTTAGCCCATTTTCTGTAGTGTCCAGGATGAAATCGAATGATCGACACCAAAATTTTGACAATTGGTCCTGTCTCTGCTATTTGGGTCATGCAGAATCCCCCCCCCCTGGCTGCTTCAGAATGGCTTCCATTGTGCATGTCCGATAATG